TGAGAATAACAAAAAAAGAAAACTATAGATCAATTTCCTGGATTGTCGTATTTTTAAAAATCTCATTAAAATACTTGTAAATCAAATTCAACAACACATTGAAAAGACCATACACCATGATCAAGTCAGTTTCACTGCAGGGATGGAAGGATAGTTCAACATATGCAAATCAATAAATACAATACAGCATATAGAGTCAGTGACAAAAATTAAATGATCATCTCAATAGATACAGAAAAACCCTGGGAAAAAATTCAACATCCTTCATAACAAAAGCACTGAAGAAACTAGAAAGAGAAGGATCATACCTCAATATAATGGAGGATGTATACCATAAACTTATAGCCAACATTGTACTAAATGAAGAGAAATGAAAGCATTTCCTCTAAAATCCAAAACAGGACAAGTATGTCCACTCTCTCCACTTTTAATCAATGTAGTCCTTGAATTCTTAGAACGATAAGGCAAGAGAAAGAAATAATACAGATACAAGTAGGAAATGAAGACATCAAATTATCCTCTATCTGTACATGATATCATACTTGAAAGACCCTACAACTTCACCAAAAACTGTTAGATCTGATAAAACACTTTTGGCAAAGTAGCAGGATAAAAATACCAACACACAAAAATCAGTAGTTTTTCTATATACCAATTATCAGAGAAACAACTGCATTCACGGTAGTTGCAAAAAAACAAAACAAAACAAACTTAGGAATATACTTAACCAAGGAGGTAAAAGACTTCTGTGATTAAAAACTATTAAAAAAAAAAAAAAAAGACTGAAGAAGCCAGTCTCACGCCTATAATCCTAGCTACTGAGAAGACAGATCATGAAGATTTCAGTTTGAGGACAGCAGAGGCAGAGTTAGCAAGACCCCATGTCAATAAATCCCTGGTCACTGTGGTATGCACCTAGCATCCCAATCTACATGAGGTTAAAATTGGGAGAATCAAGGTTCAAGGTCAACCTGGGCAAAAAAGTTTGGGAGACCCTATCTCATGAAAAAAATCTCGGTGTGGTAGAACACGCCTGTCATCCAAGAGACTGCGGGAAGCATAAAATAGGAAGGTCACAGTTCAGGCTGGCCTGAACAAAAGATGAAACTCTATTGCCAAAATAACAAGAGGAAAAAGAGCTGCAAGTATGGTTCAAGTGTAGTGCACCTGTAATGCTAGTAAGTGCAACACCCTGAGTTCAAGCCCCAGTACCAAAAAAAAAAATTATATGCACATATGTAAATACCACATAAAACCCTTTTCTATGAGTAACTTACACTAATAAAAACATTTGAAATAGTAAAGTGCTACTTTTATAATTTGTGAATAATTAACTTGTTTTTCAAAACTCCTGACCACCGGTAAGTATTCATCTTGTAATGCCAGGATACTCTTCAATTAAATAGAATCAGAAACTCCAGAAAGTAAAATGGGTTTTCTCACAAATTGAATCCCCATCATCACCTAACAAATGCTCATGTTCTTCATCATAATTAAGAAATGTACCAAAAACTTACAATCAACTTTAAAATTAAAACAAATGTGGTACTTTCAATTTTCTTCTTGCTCAACTGTTACTGTGGAGAGGCACATTTGATATGCTCAGGCCTGCACATGTTCACTTGTGCAACTGTCTGTGAGCAGTCACAACACATCAGTTAGCCCAGGTTTAACTGAAGTGCACCAGGCACAGTATGTACCATTCATTCATTGATCCACTTGGCCAATATTTCCTGAGTGCTAAAAGACTAAATACCTCTGGTTCTGAAACTTCTGTTGTTGGAGAGAAAAAAAAGTCAAGAAAAACTTCATTCTGAAGTATACATTTATTACTCAGCACCAGTTAACATATCAGAAATTGCAAATGTCTTTCTACTTGGGATTAAACAAAATGACATGTGCATGGTTGTATGAGGGCTTTTGAGATTTTTTGGTTTTTTTGTTTGGTTGGTTTTGATCTTTTTTTTGCTTGGAAAAATGTGAGTTTATTGTTTCTTTGAATGGTACAGCTCAACTTATAGTTGCATATAAACCTATTTACATTTTTAAGTAGCATCTTACATGCTTTCTTTAAAACACAAAACTATGAGGCGAGACGGTGGGGGTGATCTAACCAATGGACAATGTAAGGCTATTTGGAATTGTCACAATGAATCCCCTCTGTAGAAGGAATATAACCTAATAAAAATGGGGGAAAAAATCAAAACATAAGACACAAAATTAAGCCAGAAGTGGTGGTACATACTTATAATTCCAGTATTCAGGAGGCAGACACAGGAGGATTGTGAGTTCAAGGTTGGCTTGAGCTATAAAGCAAGACTCTATCTCAACAACAACAAAAAGCCAAGCCTGGGGCTGTAGCTCAGTGGTAGAGTATTTGTTAGTATGCACAAGGTATTGGGCCCCGTCCTCAGCACACACATGCACATACATGCACAAAGATTTTAGCGCTGTTCTAGGTTCACAGCAAAACTGACAGAACAGTAGGAAGGTGCCCCATGCATGCCCTCTCATCCCATGCATAGCTCCCCCTCAGCAGCTTCCACCAGACACCTGCTACACCTGATGAGCCTACATGCTTGACAAAGTTTACTATTAAGTAAGGAAACAGTGAATTCAATTTAAAGAACAATGTGGTTCTGGAAGCATCTCTGTGAAGGTATATTCTCCAAAAGGCAGTAAGAAGGAAAAATGGCTGGGGCCACATAAAAGCTAAATTCCACTGAGTGAAAGCTTAACTCTGCACCAGTGTACTGAGAGCACTTATTTCATATAAACTTTCACTGTGAGGTAGGAAAGCAAACTCAGGTAGGTAATTTGTCCAAGGCCGCTAGTAAGATGGCAGAATGAATGTCTGAGATCCTGAAGCCTTAAACTAAGCCTAAGCTTTTAACCTCTGTACCAGGCAGGACCCAACATAATGGCAGCAGGCCTGCAAGGCAGTGGTGTGAGATGTGTATTTAATCTCTAGGCATTGTGAATGGAGGTCTATAAAATTTAACTTTGGGAAAATAACTCTATCGCAGCGTGCGGAATAACCTAGACTGGTGAGCAACTGGAGTCAGCAGTATTAAGAACCAGTAAAAGACACCACATAACTGAAATGCTACAAACCTAAGAACCTATAAAATGGAGAGGGCAACCATCTCCTAATACCCTCCTCCCCAGGAGGAGAATGGAATGGAATTCCGTTAAACCAAGATGAGCCAGAATTCTGAATAGGTAAACTACATGTCACAACCAAACACATTTACCTTTCATCTAGTACAATTATGTTTTCTAAACTTTATTAGGTGGAGAAAAACTGCCCGTGGAGACTCCAGTCTGAACTGAAAATACATGGGCCAGGGCTGCCAGAAACACCCCAGCCTCCTCCTGGAAAAACTAAGCTGCCCCACTAGAACTGTCTGGAGAGGAAAGAAAAGGGAATCAGGTCACTCTTAAGTACCTGGGCTGGCCTCTAAATCTAGATCCCCCTACTTTCACCTCCCTATAGCCAGGATTATAGGTATGCACCACCACACCCAGCTAGTTTTCTGTTTTTGCTATGGCAAATTGTCACAAATTAAGCAAACATTCTTCCCTTCATTAAGCAAACATTCATATTAAAACCTACCAAGTGAAACTCTCAAGTATGAGAGACATTAGGAACTCCAAACAATTATTACTATACATGTGATACTAGAATTTTCACTTTTGCCAAATTAACTTAGTAATTGAGAATGATTTTCTAGGTACTTCTGAAAATGTTCCAAATGTGTTGTGTATGGTGGGGGGAAGGTGAGTGAGAAAAGCCAGAAGGTGAAACAGGAAAATTCCTTTCAGCATTCTTACTGCTCTAAGTCACTAAATTTGCGACAATTTGCCATAGCAACAGAAAACTAACTGGGTGTGGTGGTGCATACCTATAATCCTGGCTATAGGGAGGTGGAGGTAGGGTGAGCTAGATTTAGAGGCCAGCCCAGGGAAAGTTGGTGAGAGCCTATCTCAAAAACAAAGTAAAAACAAAAGGGCAGGGGATGTGACTCCAGTGATACCGTGCCTGCCAAGGACAAGACCTTGGGTTCAATCCCCAAAAAACAAATAATTTTCTTAAATAAATAAATAATTTTTAAAAAAGCAGAAAACTAACACAGCAGGCTTCTTCTAATCCTTGAATCTTAGGAAATTTTTGGCACTTAGTTACTAAAATGGAGCTGTAATCCAGGAAAATGCCTACCTGTGAACTGTTTGGTACTATACCCCAAGAAGATAAACACAAATTGAGAAAGTTTATTTTTATATAGCCCAATTTCATGCTTGCTGAATAAAAAAATAAGTTTGTTCTCATGTCTACTTTCTCTATCTAATTTATCTAGTAATTTTACAAAAGTATTGGTTGAGATACATGGAAATTTTAAAGAAGAAAGAGAGGGGCGATGGACGAGTGGCTCAATTGTAGGGCGCAAGCATAGCAAGCGTGAGGCCCTGAGTTCAAACTCCTATACCACCAAAAAAAAAAAAACAAAAAACCTTACGAATCATCATTTACAGAAACGAAAGTGAAGCACTCACAGAATATTCGCCCAAGTTCAGAAAAACTATAATTCTATCATTTACTTATCAACCTAGTTCACAAATGTTTACGCTAGACACCAAGCTGCAGCTGAAGCCATCGTAAGCCACTGTGTGGACCAATACGGAGAGCAGCTCAGTCCCCTGGTGACTCCCGCCACCCGCCCGCCGGAAAGACGCTCGCTAAGGCGCGGACAGCTGAGCCCCTCGCCGCCCCTCGGCCCGGGTCTTGGGATGCAGGCAGTCCGCGTAGGGATCTGCTCGGCAGTCCGCGTAGGGATCTGCTCGGCAGTCCGCGTAGGGATCTGCTCGGCAATCCAGTCGGCCCGACCCTGCCCCGCCACGCTCACCAGGTCGCGGACGTAACTCCACCCCCTACGCCGGGGCCCACACCCCCCGCCCAGCCGGCCCACTCCGCCGTGGCGTGGCCCCACCCTCTCTCTCACCCGCCCGAGCTCCGCCTTCCTCTGCAGCTCCGAGTGCCGTTCCAATGCGCTCGCGAAGCCGCCTGGGCCAGTTTTTGAGTCTGAGGAATGGGAACTCCAGCTCTCGGAGCCATGTTCAGTGCCTACTCCTCGAAAGGGCCTGGAGAAGAGAAACATTCGTAGAAAATGGCTCCCGGCGGCCAAGGCACGAGTCCGACACAGCGCCGCCATGACGCCTTCCCAACCTCTGACCTATGCCCCCCGCTCCGCAAGCGCGCGTGTCAAGGGGCGTGGCGATGAGAGCCCCGCCCTCCCAGGCCCGGAGCAGTGTGCGGCGGCGACGTTAGCAGAAACTGGTGATGTGAATCTTTAGTCTGGACGTCCGCTAAGATTTGCCTTCGAAGTGCTTGTGACTCGCATCCAAACATGAGATTGCCCTTGATTGCACTGTTAAAATCGGAACCCCCCACACACACCACCTTGCGGAAATAGTAATCTTCGAGACGTTTTGTCACTGACAGGTACTATCCCTTCTGGGAAATTTCAGAATGTGCCCATATATTACACCCTGAGGCTTCCACCCTCACGTTGGACTTTCTCTTTTTCTTCTCAATGTGAGCTGCCCATCCTTTTCAAAATCAAACATAATACCATACTCACGTGTTCACCAGTTTCGTCCAATTTCTTAACCAGTTTTGTTAATCCCGCAACTAGCCATTCTGGGGGCAGGTGGCACACAGCTTACACACAATTTTAAAGTGGGAAGAAAGTAGGACTGTGAGAGGAGGATTTTTTAAGGTCACAGACCCTATTTTAGTAATGCCTTTTACTATAGATGTCATTCTCATGCTCTCAACCAATGGCATAGATTGTACGGAACACTAAGAAGTTCACTGACTTGGAATGCTGCCTAATTTTGGGCATCACATAAAACTACTACTAGTGTGAAAATCCTCACAAATTCAGTTTGGGGCTGAAGAGCAATCCACCTCCGGTTGATTTCTACCTCGAGGCACTAAACCTGTTTGTTTCCCTTTATCATTAATGGACTCTTGCCTGAAACAGTTTTGCTTTATTCTGTGGCTGTTGTAAATTATAAAGAGCATGGCCAAAGACCTTTAAGAACCCACAGTAGTCCTAATCCTAACCAAATTTCGTGTAGATTCTGCTTCCTTCCTACTTGTAAAACCAAGCTGTTATCCATAGTGCCAAAGTTTAAGGAAGTGCTTTGTAAACTTAAACCACATTAGTATGGGGGCTTTAGTAGTACAGTGCTTGCTTAGGCCTTGGGTTCAGTCCCCAGCATTGAAAACTCTGACATCAGTATGGACAAAACAAGTAGGAGTTACTAAGGTCCTGACTCTAAAATTCAATATATGTGTTACATTCATGTCCTGCCTCAGCCAAATGACAAACTTCTGAAGAACTATGAGAAAGGCATTTTGGGGACAATTCCAATTCTTACCTTTTAAAAATGAACATGTTGATGGGTTGTATCTCAGTAAGATACAAATAAAAGCTTTCAGTTTTATTTGCAGATTGAAGGCTTTTACATTAAACACATTTTTTAAAAACACTGAAAAATTCACCAACATTCAAAAGAGGAATTAACAACTGACTTCAAGTTATGCCTTAGTTCTGTGCCTTTGGTAGATTATCAGAAGGATCAAATGAAAGATTAAAGAAGTGAATGAGTCAACAAGACAGATGTCTCCAGACGTTTTTCCCTAACCCAGCAGGAACATCTGTTGCAGCAGCAATGTTTTCACATCCTTATGGCATCTTAAGGCTGTTGATCCTGCTCTACCTGCACCTTCCTTCTGGTTTTATTAAAAATGCAGACCTCTTTTCTCCTCTACAGCTTACAAGTTGTTAATACACATATAAAAATATTAGTAATGGCAGATGGCAAGGAAAGTAAACAGAAAACAGTTCAAGTCCTGACGTCATGTCTACTAGCTATGGTCGCATCTGTCAAACTGTAAAATTACCACATCTCTAAATTTTAAAAAATGCAAGTGTAAAATGCCTGGACACTTACTGAAAGCTCAGTAAAAAGGTGGCTATTATTGGCTGGGTGGCAGTGATTTTAAGGTGACTAGAAATTCATGCCTTTTGGGGCTGGGGGTGTGGTTCAGTGGTAAAGCACTTGCCTAACATGCTTGAGACCTTGGGTTTGATTGCCATCACCACAAAAGAAAAAAAGGCAATCTGTGCCTCTTAACTACAGGTGAAAGCCTGGAAGAATGAATAACTCTAGAGAGACTGGGGAGATAGTATCATGGTGTAGCCAACCACCGAAACAGGTAAGAGTATTAAAGAAAGCATGTAGAATTTATGAAGGATAGGCAACAGCATTCAAGAAGCTGGAAAGTTAAATTGGGATATATGAACAGAACTAATCCTAGAAATCAAGGAAAACTTTAAAGTATTTTGAAGTGGACATTGTTAAAGTCAGCATAACCACTTAGAAATATGGGTTCAAACTATAAAATTACATTTGACTTTTACTGTGGTAGGAAAACCATCAAATTAAAATAATCACACTCCCAACCAACTTAAGTAAATAACACCAAAATTACATGAGTTGGCAAGAATTTGAGTCACCAAACAGTATTTATTGAAGTCTGAAATCCTGACAGGTGATAGACACATGCAGGCCCTGCCCTGGTGGCTTACAAACTAAGAATGAGAAACCTTGGGGTTTGTTTTGGTTTCAGCGTCAGAACAGTATCAAAATTGTGAAAACAATTTTTGCTGGCTTCCTTAAAAGTGATAATGCTTTATATTAACTTTATATTAACCCACACATGGTTTCTATAACTAATACAAATTCAAATGGAATGAACACTAAAAATAAAGATAACCCAATGGTCAAAGTCTCTTCTTCTAAGGGCAAGACTCTGATTTTTCATCTGGTTTTAACAATTATAAAGAAACATGTGATCCTCACAAACTGCCTAATGCATCATCTTCTCTGGCATATGTGCAGTAAACAGACACCTAATAAATACCTTTTGGTAGCCAGCCTGTAGCCTTTTTATGTTTGTTTAATACCTTGATTCAATACAGCTGTTCACTGATCTTTAGTCAGGCTAAGAAGGATTTGAAAGAGAAGCTGCATTTTGGACTTACCCCTTTCCTAAACAAGTAATATGTACAAAATAACCCGTACCCAAATCATAGAATTTTTATTGTTTTCAAACACCATACAAAAAAATACAGTATATATCTTGATTAACAGATCTAGAAACAGTCCAAATTAAATGTGTTTGCTATAGATCAATAATTACTGTGAGTTGTTAAGATGATAATGCAATTACTGATAATGCTGCTCTCTTCCATTGATTGCTTTGACCTTTTAACCATAAGAACTCTTCCTGAATTTCCCACAGACTCCATAAATTAAAGACATTCCTTTTTGTAAGAAGGGGATATTGTCAGGGATATTTCCTTCTGTTACACTTCTTATATGCTTTAATATCTGAGATTTTACAAATACCTGAGACTTCATTCTTGCCATTTTCTTACGGTGCCAAACAAAACACAATAGGGTAGCTAGGACATCTTTCTGTATTTCTACTAACTACTGTGCTTCCAATTTCTTAAATATCTGTGAGTTCTGAATATTGAATCTACCACAAAGACCATTTTGAATATTTCTAATGACATGCTTATTTTTCTAAATTCATCCTCACTTTTTTTACAACTTCTTTAGGAGACAAGAGTACTTTACAACATTTTTTTTTAGATTAAGTGTAGGAAGATGTCTAGAAAAGTGATTCTCTAATTGTTGCTTTCATAACTATCCCAGTATTCACCAATTCATACCCATCCCCCTTCCCACCACCATTTATATAATTTTTCCTCATATGGACAGTAAAGAGATTTCAAGATATTTTACCTCACTTCAGAAACTGTTATCTTACTTTATTTTTGCCTGTTGAAAAGACAGGCACAGGACAGGACACCTAGGAAACAATGTGATGAATAGAAAACACTGGAACAACAACAATTCAAGACTAGTTAGTAGAAAAACTAATTCAACAGTTAAGCTGAATAACCAAAGTATTTCTATAAAGAGACAAATTTCTATAAATTCACTTCTTGGGACAATGCTACCACAACCTTACTTAGTCTTACAGCCTCTAGAAGGAAATATGTACCTTAGAATATGTTAGTCTGATACCATTAAGCAGTGATTTAGAGTGATGGTTTTTAAAAATCCCTTTTTTAAAGCCTAGAAAACAATTGATTCATTAACAAGCTATTTGCAGACCACTGGTCTCGTAACAAATATTGAGACCTATATAGTACTGATATACAGAATTTATTAAGCTTTTCACAAGTATGTAAAGGAGTATCAATTGCATTCAAAGTGCTAACACGCAAGCTCTAGCAATCAAGAATGGAAGCATGTCATTTTATAACAACATGTATGGCCTTTCAAATTTGATTTTCAGAAGAATTTATCCTCAAGTAAATATAGTCATGCTTTCAAAAAATGATTTAGGTCATTCCAAGCTTGGCAATTAACATTTGGCATAAACAATAATAAAACAGTCACACTTGATAAATAACAGATAAAACCTTGTAGGCCATAAACATGTACAGCATAAGGAGATGATGGTGGTGGTGGGTTAATTATCAGAGTAAACAGAATACCTTGGCCTGTGCAGATCCATCCAGAGGCCTTATTCATTAACAGAGACCCAGTTCTCAAAGTAGGGCGAATGTCTACAGTACCATTTTAGAACTGCTACCACGTTGAAAACAAGTAGAAAATGATAAGCCCATTTTTATTAATGCATTACAACCTCAGGAGTTATCGCCAACATTTTAATATAAAAAATGTTCAACTTACATTAGTCACATAGCTTTGTGTGCTTATTTTAAAGAATGTAAAATGGATTAAATAGAGACAGCAATGTTTCCCTGAATGTAAAGGACTTTAGCATTTTTACAGCTACCTAGACTAAAAACACCTTCAGGCTTTTCAATTGAACAATTGATGAGTATGCTCATATTTCAACCTACTGATAATACAATATGCTTGACTCAGAAATTAAAATTTTAATCTTGTTTTAAAAGAAAAGTTGATGTAAGTAGCATAATAACCAAGATGCTGAAATGGTTACTGTCACAAATGGTGATTAGCAAGAATATAGGAGTGGGTCCCACTTAAGTCACTTAGTAGTCTGAACTACTGTAAACATCGTCACCTACAGAACTATAACATATTGGATATACAGCTGTTTACTTTAGTATGAGGACTTCAGACACCCAAGATATGTACCTTATATGAAAGCAGGATTTATTCAAGAAAAAAATTTTTGTAGGTGGTAGTTCTTCCCTATCACCTACAAACCACCACCAAAACTTTTAATAACCAGGATTCAGAAAACTCAGAAGAACAATTTTAGTTAGGAATCAAATATATAGAAATTCAAATTGGAAAAAAAGAAAATCTTACAGAAGACAAAGATCAAACTGGCATCTCAGATGTAGAGCAATTTTGAGCAATTCTGTCAAGTAGAAAAGCAACTATGATCACCTGCAGCTTCTCAGATCATTCTAGTGAGCCTCCCCAGGTACTATACCTGTCTTTATAGTACTGTTGCCTAAATTAAGGGCCTTTGATGCACATTAAAGGGTGTTTTTTTCTGGTAGTAGAGGTGAAGGTATTTTCATTCTGTTTAACCCACAAACTATTTGGTCAAAGAAATATGTAAAGCTAAATAAAAGCACATCTGGTAGAAATTGATGGAATGAATGTTGACAAGATGTGCTTGGATCTTGCTCGCAGCATCTGGCAGTGGGTAGCAGAACAAAGGTAGGAATCTCACGGGCTCTCCTGCATCTGTTCTGGAGGCGGCTCCGTGGCGGTGGCACTAGCATTTGCAGTTGAATTCAAGACTTCTCCAAAATCACCGCCAGCAGGCTTGGTTCCCCCTACTTTAGACTTAAAAAAAAGTTCAAAAAAGAAAAGACAACATGAAACAAAATTAGCTGACTCTGCATAAATGAACTCTTAATTTTACTTTCAAGAACAAATAAATTGGGAACCTCATTCAGTGATCATTGTATATCTATGTATGGACTCTAATACTATTGTAATGCTCAGTATGGTATAACAGTATAATTTAGGCATTCCTCCTTCCTTGCTAAAACATTTAGATTGGTAAATTCTACCCCCTTTTCTTTTTGTCTAAGTGCTCTGTACAGAGAAATTTAAGAACTCTATAAAGCCTATTATTCTAAATTATCTACTGAAGTCTCCTGACCCTTATGTAAACACTTTGTATTGCATCAGATTGTTTATTCAACTACACTCATTCAAGAAATGTTATTGGTACAACAAATGAAAGAAATACATGTATTTTTCCCAGTTACAGGATAAGCTTTTCAACACTTTACTACTTAAAATTCTGGATCAAGGACCTGTACACTCCACATCACCTAGGAGCTTGTTAGAAATTCAGAACCTTAGATACTCACAGACCCCACTCTTAACTACAGAATTGAACTCCACATTACAACACAATCCTCAGGTATTTGTGTGCACGTGAAGTTTCTGAGGCTCTATTCCAACTTAAGAATTTCTTAGCCTGAAATTCTATCAATAAATATTTGTTTGAATGAATACATCATCAGTCTTACATTTGTATTATATTTTATGCTTTTTAAAACCCTTACATATAATATGTCCTTCATGCTTTTCAACAGTGACATATTTATGCTGTTACATACAATGACTGAGCAACAGGATAGCTAACATTAAGAAACCCTGGATGCAGGAAGCTCATAGTGGATTTGAACTTGACTGTCCTCTTAGCTCAGTCTCAACTGGCTAGAAATCCTAACAATTAGAATTTAGCTGAAATTTCCTGTCTCATTCTTTTTGCTATCCCATTCAAAATCTTTTAATTATTTTGAGAAATTTTAATAATTAATATCTATAGTTGTTTATTAAATTTATTAAAACACATTCCTTAATTATAAGACTTTTTGGGGGGGTGGAGGGGGAGATACAGGAGTTTGAACTCAGGGCCTCATACTGGCCAGGTAGATGATCTACCACTTGAGCCATGTCCCCAGCCCTATAAGAAATTTCTTTTTTTGGGGGGGAGAGTACTGGGGTCTGAGTTCAGGGCCTCACACTTGCTAGGCAGGTGCTCTACCACTTGAGCCACTCCACCAGCCCTTTTTTGTGTTGACTATTTACAAGGTAGGGTCTTGTAAACTATTTGCCTGTGCTGGTTCAAACCTCAATCCTCCTGATCTCTGCCTCCTGAGTAGCTAGTGTGACAGGCATGAGCCCCCAGAATCTGGCTAAGAAATTCTTTAAGACTCCTTGTAATTAAACACATCTAAAATTAAACTCCTTCTCTCCACAACCAATCCTTTCTGTAGCTATTTTTTTCAGCTATCTTTTTAAAGACTTTTTATGGCAGTAATGCTAGCCAGACACCTGGAGTTGTCTTTGAGCTTGCCCCATCCTGTTCCATATGCAATCACTTTTATTGTGTCCTTCTTAATTTCTAAATATCTCTACATTTTGTCTCATTGCACTACTTTAATTAACTCCACCATCATCTTTGACCTGGATTACAACTCTTACTTCCCAATTAATCTGCCCATTACCAATCTTTCCCACCTGGGCTGTACAAGGCTGCTAGGGTTTTTTTTTTCTTTTTTTCTTTTTTCTTCTGAAGTACACAGAAGAATGTGTTCCTCCTATTGTCAAAAATCTTCCAATGGTTTCCGATTGCCCAGAGCCCAAATTCTCATTCCTCAAAAGGGCCTTCATGCTTCAAACAGTTCCATTTATAATACTGGGTCCTCTGAGACCTTCCCTGACCTTTCCTCCTGTAAAGCTAGGTGAGATTTCTGCCACTGGTCTACATTGTGCTCTCAACATTCCCTGTCACAGCAAATGCTCAATACTCACAGATAAATGAATCAATCCAAAATCCCAATAGGAGTACTTGTCAACGCAATGTTTAACTGAATAGATGTATAATTTGGCAAAATTATATCCTAAGAGTATAATTTGCCATTTCCTTGGGAATATTAGTTTAATGTACTATGCTTTTTTAAAATGACATTTTTATCTGAATAATGTCAAATCATACTTAAAAAGTAGATGGCACTACAATTTATAGAGTATATACTCAAGAAGAGGGTACACAGCAAATGAACATAGCGTATATAGTATCAAATGAACATAAGTTGCCTGCCTGGTTTAACTAGACGTTTTAAAAACTAACGCTTAGGGCAGGAGCTGAAGAGCAGCTGTAGAGTCACAACAACATTGAGAACTGAATTGTAGTAAACCTTGACTTTCTGTGACATAATCTGTTTTGAAATATATGATGTGGCATTAAGAAGAGAAAACTGGTCTCTCGTACATATCCTGAAGGGTGACTATATTTTTTTATTCACCAAATGTATACTAAGCAATTTGTCAATGACTGTCCTAGGCTCTGGAGAAGTTATTAGTCAGCAAAAAGAATGGGTCCCTGCAACCCTGGGTTCACAGAGCACCAGGCCAGTGGAGGTGGAATAAGTAAGCTATAAAGCTATGTGTACAGTGTGACTCTTGGAAAAACATTTACATTTGGGTAAAAACATAAAAGGTATGTGCTAATGTTTGTAATGTGCAAGAAAGAAAGATCTAGATCACTGTATAGTGTTTGCTTTTCTTCCAATAAACATACTCTGTCTCTGTAATTTTTTAAAGATGCATTTAAAAATGCACAGCTCAGTTAAAGATCTGAAAGACATAACTAAATATTAGCTTTTAAGCTCTTTTTTTTTTTTGAGACAAGGTCTTACTATACAGCCCAGGCTGGCCTCAAACACGTAATACTCCTGCCTCAGAGTCCCAATGCTGCAATTACAGGCACGATCCACCATACCCAGCATGATCATTTATATTAAAACATCTAAGATATTAACTTTAATCTTTAAAATATATCCACTATAATTATCAGTTACATTATGAAGAAATGAATGGGCAGGCTCGCTTATACTAAAACATCTAAGATACTAGTTTTAATTCTTAAGATAGATCCACTATAATTATCAGTTAGGTTATGAAGAAATGAACATGTAGACTTCATACAAACCCTGTAGAGAGGGTCAGGCAATGAGTGTGAACTAGAGGACTTTGAGGTCATTAGTGATCCTAAGAGTTGATGATTTGGTAGTTCTGAATATAATCTTGAAAATGATGCAATTTATAAAACTAACTGTTACAGAAAGAGGTCCACTTCCATGGAAATAAAAGAAATAAAAAATAAAGAGTGAATCATCAATGACAAACATCATGGACTCATGTAATAATAAAGTAACAAAATGTACAATAGTTAAGGATTAAAAAAACAATATCCATTACAAGGCATAAACAATCATTAAACATAATGAAGGAAAATGATTATGATATGTGGTTCTTTATAAAGTATAATAGCAAAGTATTATGACATACATAAGTCACTGTCAGTGGGTGGCAGCACCATTTTTTTAAAATTGTGCTTTTTATATTGTTGTTATCTATAACAAAATTACAGTAAATTTTGTGCAATTATGAAAGTATTTGACATGAATAAACCATTATTTATTTATTTTTGGTGGGACTGGGGTTTGAACTCAGGCTTTGTACTTCCCAAGCAGGTGCTCTACTGCTTAAGCCAAGCTTCTAGTCCATTTTGCTCTAGTTATTTTGGAGATGGGATGGTCTCATGAACTATTTGCCCAGGCTAGCCTTGAACTTGATCCTTCCGATCTCAGCCTCCCAAGTAGCTAGGAGTATAGGTGTGAGCCACCAGGGACCAGCAAAAGTACTGTCACTTTTTAAATTGTACATTTCCTTTTGGCATTTAGCATATTATCCTGCTACACCATATATTCAAAAACTATTGATTAAAAGAGTACATAACCACTGAAATGTCCATTAATGACCTAGAGAGTAACATGCTTACAATTCTTAGTTTTCAAAAATATTTATGAGAATGATCCACACCAAAGAAAATTTGGGCACAAAGACTCTGTTCATTTCTCTACTTGCCTTTAAATTTTCAACTTTTTCTTCAAAGGATTTGAAAGTCGGGGAATTTCTATAAAAAAAAATGATAAAGTTACAAACGCTGAAAAAAATTAATTTTGAAAACATTAGTTGACTGAGTTCCTCTTCATCACTGTTAATCAGCAAAAAAACATATATTTAGCTATATGATATGTGAGCAGGGATACAAGCAAATACATATCATATACGATTATCAATGTTGAGCTAATGTCTCTACAAGTCTGCTTGTGAGTCATTAAGATAGCCACTCTTAGACTTAAGTGATATAGTGAACCACATGTGTGAGGAAAGAGAACAAAACCATGTGAAACATCAATTCTGTCACTTCCCCAAACAACTTGTCATGATATAAGACGACACCACCACTACATCAGTTTACTCTTGGTTAATGTACCATGCTCTGGAACTCCTCCTTAGATTCTCATCTTGCCTGTTAGGATTCCTACATCAACCCACATCATCCCAGAGGGACAAGCAGATCTATAAAGGGACCCTAATTCTCAAGAAGCACACCACAAACAGGGAGAGGAGGAACCAAAAAGAAGCTGGGAACACTGACACTTGGCTTTCCTACTTCACAAGCTGTCCCAACTGACAAAGGGAGCACTCCTAGCCCACAGGAACCTTCCCAAGGGGCTTCTCTTTCATCCACATTAATGACAGAAACAAAGGTTTCCAAAGCTTTTATCTGTCCTACTACTTAGATGAAAAATGGAAAGAAAACAAATGGGAATATAGGCTTCCTCCTTATCCCAGCAGTGATGGCAGAATAGTATATGTCAATGGTTCTCAAAGTATGGCTCCCACACCAGCTGTATCACCATCACTGGGGCACTTGTTCGGAATGCAAGTTCTCAGGTTGCACCCCAGAATCAGAAACACTAAGGGTAAGTCTAGTTGAATGACCCTTCCAGGTGATTTTGATATACACTGAAGTCTAAACCAAGCACATACTGTTAAAAATCCTCTACTCGCTAAAGGTTAGGTGAGGTAATGACATGTACCACTTGCAAGTGCTTGCTGATGAAAGTGGGCAGTAGAATTGTATCACAGTTGGCTCCAAATGTCACACTTGGGTAAAGGGAGCATAACTAAGGCTAATGTACATAAAGGAGATGGGCCACCTAAATCCACGAAAAGAGAAGGTGCATTAGAAACTAGCATTCACTTTCTACATGTAGCTTGTTCAGGGCAGAATTCTAATTCCCTACTTCAGAACAGTTGAGATTAAGCATTTAAAGAAAGCACAGGAGAGCATAAGACCAACTACATTTTGTAAAAATATACTTTACCTCATGGCAGGCATGCTAATTGAATGTTGAATGGAGCGTATACTAAGAGGCAGCATTAAAGAGAGACAGAAATGAAGTTAGTATAGAGTCGTGATTCAACATATAAAAAAGCTGACAAAACTTTGCTATCTAGGAGGTTTATTCATTTGACACCATGAAAAGCTGTCTGCTTTTTGAGGTAGAGGGGATCAAAATTATTCTGATGTAATTTACTTTTATTCATGAGCCAATTTAATCCCAATCCTTACTAGAGCTAATAATACAAGGTTGTATTTTCATAGAACCTTGAAAACTGTAAAGTACATTCACACCTGGATGAGCAAGGCCTGTAGCATCAGGCTCAGAAGTTAAATAGTCTGGCCAAGATTACAGCAGAATCAACAATGGAACTTGGGTCTTTAGGACTCTTAGTTCAGTGTTCACCACCTCCCCTCAAAAATGAAGCACACATACATACAGGTAGACACATGTATAAGCAAAGCCAGTGTAAGGTCTCTGTGAAAGGCCATCTTTCTCACAGCATTTGTTGCCAGGCTGGAACAGGTAGGTTTCAAAATAAATGACCTAATTGACTACTGTGAATGACTATAAATTACTTATCATTCTTGAGAAATATCAGTATCTGTTCTGTAATAAGGCACACTTACACTTCATCACAAACTAAATGCTCTTAAAAGGCCATTCAAATAACATTTGGCCCTCTATCTTACTAAGTCCAACTTCTACTCAAGGACAGTGCAGTTCACTGATTGTTCAGGTTCAAGGTATCTACTCTAGGCCATCTCTCCTGGAGACCAGTTCATAAGCTCAAAGTACCTTCATTCTTAGGCTTATAAAACCACTGCATTCTGCTGATAGTATTACTATGTGCATAATATTTTGATCATTGGTATAGCTTTTTTGGTAAGTAATCTTTCCCTTGGATGAGGTGGGTAGTTCAGGGTATTAACTTTCAATTACATTTATGATTTAGTTTTCTCAGAGTCAGTTGTTAAAATGGTAATGTATTTTGAGTGTCAGCTCCTCAATCTAGTTTTGCATTATTATGTAACAATATAGAGTATGATTCTGATATACACAAAAATAATCTGGTATTTTGTGTAATCAAAATAATCCGTGTAATATTTGGATATCTCTGTACTTATGTCTTACATAATACAGGACAAGATCCATATAATGCAGCATTCTCACTTTCCTACAGTAGTGGCTGACAGCTGGGTGTAGGACTACAACTACTCCAGGGAGAATTGCTACTTTTTTTCCTACTTCATCTTTGGAAGCGTATTGGTTCCATATTTGAAAGACAGAGATTAGTAAGAAAACTCCTAAATTAACAATACCAGAACTCCATCACCTTTCTAAAGAAATGCCTGGAACAGCCACATTGCACAAACCACCTTCCACTTTAACTTATGATACCTGGGTCAGTGTAGCACCACCTACCACATCTAACCTCCTGGTGACCTACAGATTGATTGGATTGAACGGGGGAAGACAGTTAAAACAATTAAGATCCTTATTTTTAGCGTGCTCTAACTGGGACTAAGCTGCTGACTCAGTTAGTGGTAGGTACTTAAGCTAGAATGTCACACTGACTTGAATGTTGAAAATTTTAGGGGACCAGACAAACTGCAAGATGGAGAAGCCAATTCCCTAAGGAAGACTCAAATATAAGCACGGAGAGAGGCAGAAGAAATGAGGGAGAAAAGACCAAGCAGGAACAGGGCAGGGTGGGAGAGGAAAAGGCTTCCTCTAATAAGCGTGGTCTCTAGAAGCTATCTCAATTTCTAACACTTTCCCAGTCAGCCTGGTTTGAGTAGGGCCTGAGCTTATTTCCTCTCTTCTCTCCACTCCTTGGATCACAGAACTTTGTATCTTTTATGTTGACCTAACATATATAGTTTTCTGTTCCTCGTAATCAAAATGTTCTTTACTAGAACATTCATTTTGGCAGAAACTACCAAATTCTGGCCAAGGTTAGTAATGACCAAACATGTGATAAACTGCCTGTCCATGGGACTCACACATGGAAACTGATAATGTCAACAAAATGAGTACAGATGTGACAAAAGTGAAAATTTTAGAAATTCACAGGTAATTCTAGTCACTATTATCACGCACCCATGTAAAAACCATTTTCTTCCGACTCTAGTTAGTTCTATGTCCCTTTCAAGAGAACATAGCTAGCACACACCAACTTAGGATGCTTCAGTAGTAATATGTTAAAAAAAAAAAAGCAAGGAAGTGATTAAAATAAGGCTGATTTTGTGAAAATCACTGAGCTGAATTTGATTTTTAGTACTTCTCTCTATGCATTTTTCACAATAAAAAAAAGACTAAAAACTTGTCCACAAAACAGAATGAAATTAGTGAACAGAAACAGATTTAAAGTCAAGGCTTCTCTGCTTGTGAGGCAGTCATTTTGGTAGAAAGACCAAGGAAGAACAATTATAATCCCATCCAGTTATTTGATCCCCTCTGCAATCTGTATTGAAATGAAATTCAATTTGGTTGGTAGCTACTCCATAATCTCACTATAGGGGGCAGCTGTTCTTTCATTTCTGGTTTCTCTACAAAAAGTTCCATGAAATTTCTGGAACTTACATACCACCTTCTACTTCCCTCAAGAAGAATTGTAGAATTCAAAAACAAAAAACCATATTGTTAGGACTAGTGGGGTAGCTCAAGCAATTAAAAAAAATGTTGCTGCTAGACCAGAATAATCTCCAAGAGACACACTGTGAAGATTAGTTAACATCTATGAGGAAAAATTTAAAACTATTTTCTACCTTGATTTGTGACCCTCAAATATATTAGTCTGTGGGACTGGGAGTGTAGCTCAGTAGAAAAGTCCAGGTAGTTCCTCAAAACACAATGAGAAAAATAATCAGAGGGCAATTTGATTCTAAGTACTTCTTACTCTTATTCTGCAAAAGTTATTCTTTTAAAAAGTTGAACTGGTTTTAAATTTCTCCTGGTTTCTTACACCAGGCTATTCGATTTTGTCATCCTTAATAGTAAGGGAGAGGGGCAGAATAAGGAGGGGAAGAAAGAGGTAGAGGAAGAAGATGGAAGAGTTAATGGCTCACATTTGTGAGTGCTTATTGTGCACCAAGCATGTTTGTAAGATCAGTCAATCTGTGTATTGTTATGCTGTTCTACTCTCACACATTCTCCTGACATACAGACAATAACGGAAGAGCAACTGCTAAACAATGCCCAGTGGACAGTCTCTATTATTGTTCTGGAACCAAGGTGTGCTGGGTTTCAATCCTGACCATCAGCCACTCACACTTGCTCTGCAACCTTGGGGAAGTCAATTAGCCTTCCCTTATGGTTCAGTTTCCTCCCAAGCATAGAATCAAGGTAATACAGTACACACTTTGGAGGTACTATATATAGTCTTATCTGTTGTAACACATGACTTTAGTGGAAACATGAATTAGCATTATTTCATATTAGATTATATCTCTTAAAAAGTCACTGTAGGGTTAGTTCTAACCCTACAGTGACTGACACAGCCCTCAATAAATACTTCTGAATTAAAGAATGAACAATTTTATTTACTAAATTGGGAAACATGAATATGAAAGGTAGAGAAAGTTATTATAATGTTCCAAATTCTAATTAAAATATACTCTCTTTCTGAGAAGAGAAAATGATCTCATTTTTCTCACTAAGGGATAAAAATTTTCAGCAAAAAAGGAATTGTTTGGATTGATTTTAATAAACCTAAAACAAATTTTAAAATACCCACAGGTATACACAAAGAAACACTCATTTAAAAAGATTCCTTTGGAAATGAACACAAAATGAAACAGCACTTTTTCTTAAGCATATCAAAACTAGCACAATGAGATTACTGATTATAGTATGTTATTAATTACTAAGACTACAACTTATTTCTAACAGTGGCATTGAGTGAAATAGGTTCTTTTAAAGTCTCTCTCCAAACGGTAAAAGCATGAGTCAATGCTTACCATGGATGTGTACAGAAAAAACAAACAGGAGAGGGGTGGAAATGCACACACCTCCCACCTGGGTCTCAGCCTTGCTGTGCCCCATTCTCACAGCATCAAAAATGACTATTCTCATTCTTTTTCTAATTTTCTCTTTCCACCACCACTCCAGTGTCTCTGTCTGACTGTGCCTCTTTCCTTGTTCTTCCATCCACCTCTTCTCTCTCTCCTTCCTCTCCCTTGTTGCTAAGTATGAACTTAAGCTGGCAAAACTAGTACATTTCTGCTCTTATAATTTTACATCTTAGTGAAACCACTGGCCTAAATTTGCCAGAAGAGATGGACAGTTAATAGGATAACCACCTGTGTCCAAGCAGTTTCTATAGGAAGCCTCTCATGTCCATCCCAGGGGCCTTGCTCCTAGGATTAGAGAGGGAACCATCTCTTGTTGGATAGTTCTTGGGCCAGTATTTTGCTTCTGTGACCCACATGATCTAAAAGATGTGTTTTTCTTTATACATCTAAACACATGAAATCAGATTAAATCACCTTAGCCAACCTTTGATGTAGAAGAATTAGTTTAAAAATTTAATTTCTCATTTCCAAGTATTAATCAAAAGATTCACTTAACCTCCACATAATAATATACAATGTATAGTCATTAAAACAAGACTGAAAACAGTGAAGTATAATCTCAATTGTAGCCTTAAATGGAATGAAATAAAGCAACTTAGAAGGAACTAGAAATGAGCAGCAAAACTCAATTTGTTTCTGATGAATTAATGACAGTACACATTGAGCTATACCTAGATACACCTGCTTAATCTTTTTAGAGATGTAGAAAAACAGTGATATCTACAGAAGCAACATTTCTCTACAGCTCTCACATATTCTTATACTTTGTATTTACATATGTACCACACCTGGCATTGTCTTATAATCGAGTGCTTACAGGCTCTTCAATTCTCAAGGCATCCCCTCATGCCCCCGACCCCTTTTCCTTGACCCTCAGCACTCAAAACTGCTAAACTCTACTCTAACAAAGCTGTGTCTGGTGGTGGCTACGGCCTCAGGATCCATGCACAGCAGGCATTCTCAGGGTGGTAGAATGGATTATGTGACTGAAGGCAGCATTTGGCCATGTTAAGTGAACTCCAAAGATCACAATCAACTCTTATCACTGGTTATTACCTGATTTTTTTAAAGCTTAATTTTAGCTTTAAACAGTCCAATATTGACAGTTTATATATTTCTGTGATTTACCCTGACTTCCAGAGATAAATGTCACCAACATCAGAACTCTAAGTACTTGTTTGCTTATTTACAAAGGCAGAGCACTAGATCACAGCAAGTGACTGCTTAAGAAGAAAATTCGAGTTACTAGTAACAGAGATGGAGACTACTATATTACCTTTCCTGCTTGCATGTAAAGATCCTCCCCCACCTGTTTTCTACAACACCTAATTAGATAATCAAAGTCTGCAAAGAGAAAGAAGAGGTTTGCTCAACATCACCAGGACTCCTCTAAGGCATGGTTTGGAATAGCATATTTTTGATGTACTTTTCCCTTTGCAAACCATGAAATTGCTTTGCATGCACAGTTTAAAATAAACTAGTATAAAGAAATGATAAAATAGTAAAAACTATAAGCTAATAAAATGAGTATTAAAAACTGCACGGTAATGGTAAATTTTCTTATTTACCACACACAAAAATGTAGAGTAACCTACAGAAGACAGAAGACTTTAACATCACGAGGCAGCACATATGCAGTCTATTATAACTGCAATAATGGGACCCAGGTGAAGAATTCCAACATCCTTACAAAAGCACCAAAGAAACAAAAGCATCAAAAACAAAGTCAGACATTAAAAGGGAGGAATCCTGAATGCCATGGAATAGCTGCTTCTTTTCACAAAAAAAAAAAAAAATTAAAAAGAAACTCAAAAATCATTTCTATAACCCTTGAACTAGTGTCAAATTCTTCTTTTAATTTATCCATTATCCATGGTATACAAGAAACCCTCCCTTGAAATTAGAAATGCACTAGAGAAAAAAATACTCCAAATGCAAGAAATTACATAGTGAACAAACATAAGCATCCACCATAGTATAATCATCTAATCTTAGCACAGCGTCTCACACGACTGCTAGACAGCAGTGATGGTTCCAACTCTCCTTACCTAAAGGAATGTGAAAAGGCTTGCAATCTGTAAGAAGCCAGAGTAAGCATTAAAAAAGAAAGGAAGTTCTGATAAATCTATAACAATTAAGTAACTTTTTAAAAGTTGCATATTTTACCTCATCCTATAGCACTACACAATTCAGTAAGCAGAAAAAGTGAGAGTATCTAACCGATGTACCTGTTTACTAATTATCAAAAAGCTTCAAGAAAGCTATGCTCATTATGCATAGGATGACGATACTCCAAATATAATGGAGGGATTTATTTTGGTATAAAGTGTAATACATTGATTGAACAAATCTATTCAACCAATAAAATTCTGGTTATAAAATCTGCTTTCCCCACAAATGAAAAAAGTCATGCAATCTGAGCTTTAAAAGAAAATAACCACAAATTGTGCATGCCAACAGAAGCACAGCTGATTTAAACCATGTTTTCCATTTTCAGCACTATCCTAATCCATATGGGAAGAGAGGCACAAAGCACTTATGAAGTGGTTTTATCAAAATGACAAGGAAAACTGTGCAAAGTAGTCTAAAATAGAAATGGGAAACAAAAAGCAACAGCTCAAAATCAAGATGTGGACCTAAGCATGAATGTACACACAGCTCACCCATTAGTACAAACCAGTGCACAAATGAGCATGTTGAAATCACACCATGGCATAAAACTGTCATATACAGAAAGTGAAGCCAGGTCTCAGTCCAAGCGTGCACTTCAATGCTCTTGTATTCATCCCGAGAAAGACTCCAGGCTCTGCCCACAATCACAAATATTCAACCACCAGAGGCATACTTACCCTGTATGATCAAGAAGGACTAAAAAGACATAAACTGCAACCAGAATTTTTCAATAACCTTTAATGGATTTCTAGGATGATCATTCTTAAGTTAGAATGCTCTTTCTAAAAGAATTTGATCTATGATTTCAGATCCTGGTTTGAAGGAGTTTTCCCTTCTCCCTCACCCTAACAGAGAATCTAGCATCATCCTGAGCCAAAACCAGGAAACAAAAAACAACCACAGTAACATTTCAATCTGCCTTAGCTGCTTAGTGAGCAAGGAAAAAGGCAGACATACTTTACGTCCTCCAGCTTTTTGGTGATGACTGAGCCAACAGATGAAAACGCAGCTGAAGCCTTCTGTCCAGCCTGAGATAAGGTTTCAGATGTCTTCTTGTATCTAAAGTCAATTATAAATGAACAAAAAAAAGAATGGTCAAGCTAGCCTTTTCAATTATCAATTATTTCCAGTGTAGTGGTCACCTCTTACTGGAGAACTCCCACAAATAAAATAGTTTTAAGGACTTCAAAAATCATTCCTAACCAACAGGGTATCAACAGCCTCCTCATCTTAGACTGACCATCATCTCAGGCACAATCTTCTGCAGTACCTGAGACCTGACAGAAAGGCAGAGGCCCACAAAGGAATGGCCAAAGAAATCAGGGTAGAACTAAAAATAGTCATGGAAGAAAAATGAAAATGAGCCAGTCTGAAAGAAATTATACCTCTTCTCCTTCCTCTTACACATAAGCCAAACAAAATAAAAATGGAGTCAAATTCCTCAGATGCCTTTATCTCAAATAAAGGGGTAAGAAGCAAAACGTAGGTCAGGACAGGCAGTGTATTTTAATTTCCCAACAAATTTTATGGGCATAAAAAAGTTCTTTTTCTTTTTTAAAAAAATTTGCCTGTCTGTAGAGCTACCAAATAAGGACTTGCTAGACTTTCAAGCATGTAAAAGATGCAATACTTAAAATGACCCTAGTGTAATATTTGCTTTTAGAAAGGTGTAAATTGCCACCCCCTCTTCCCAGCTATGTGGAGATTAGAGAAAAACAAACAACAAAAAAGATGATACCTACCAAAAAGGTTAAGATCCTACTTTGTGGAAATGAATGCTCAGGCATTTTTTCTTACCCCTCAAGATCAAATACCAGAAACAAATAGCTTATGGTTAATACAATCAAATACTAGTTTTCTGCATGTTTTCCCACTGTCAACTAATTTGGGAAGAAAGCAGACCAAAAGAGTAGGCACCCAAGTACTGTCAAGTGGAATGCAGGTGGCTTCACTGCTAGTGGCTGTCAACGCCTAAGCTTACCACTGGACCTGAACACAAGACAAGGGACAGTTCGAATCTGTTGCTAAAAGCTTGCTCCAATTAGCACTGGGAAAGAAAACTGCACTGTGATAATTCTGTATCATAACTTGTGTGATCAGAAGGACAGAGAATTTGAGATTCTGCCATGAACATACATGAGAAAATGGTGACCTAATCTTAGGTATGTACAGAGCATGGTAAAAAAAAAAAAAAAAAGACTGATTCTGCTGGTGGAGTAGCTCAAGTGGTAAAGCGTCTGCTAGCAAATGTGAGGTCCTGAGTTCAAACCTCAGTACTGTCCCCACCCCCAAAGGACTGATTCTATAGTTGACCAGATGTGGGTTCAAATCTAGACTCCACATTTTATGCTCAACACTTCACTGAGCCTGTTTCCTTGTGTTATCTCACCATCCACCTACTAGGTTATCCTGAGAAGTAAATGACAATATGTACGTATTTGGAAAATCAATATACATAGTCCTATCCCTTATCTGATGGAGATATGCTCCAAGACCACCAGTGGATACCTAAAATTACAGCTCATACTGAATCATACACACACACACACACACACACACACATTTTCTCTTAACATGGCTACTAAGCAGCTACAAGTGGGTAGCATATAAAGCACGGATGCTCTGGATAAAGGGGTGATTCACATCCCAAGATGGGAGAGCAGGATGGTTGACTATGAGAAACTGAAACCTCAGAAAGAGAAACTTCAGTAAGGAAGGAGTACTGTGTAACATTTTGGGAACTTGAATTTTCCTTCTTCAACTTGCTTATGAGGCTGCTTTTCTTTCTATTCCCTAAAACAGTCTGGAAAAGCAAAGCTAGAAGGGAGTCAGGTACACTGGAAAATTAGAAAAAAAGTGCCTGGCATGGTCCAAAGAAATGCTGTGGAAACCTCCTCATCCCCTTTCTCTTCCTCTACCCAAAGAAAAGGTACAAAAGTGTCCTTTACATGTCTAGAAAAACTCATGATCGAGGGCACATACGCAGATGTCGCTGTCACGTCCTGCCACCCTTTGGCAATGTTTTGTTTCAGTTCCTGTAGTGAGTTGATTCCAAGTTTCCGCTTGATCTCTGCTAGATGCTTCTCTTTTGCTGCTAACACTTGAGACAGAGTCTGGATTTCTTCTTCTACCTATAAGGAAGGGGTTGGGGGTGGGAATACAGCAGGAGTCATTCAGTAAGTTAAAGTTATTAGAGCAAAACTACACTCAAAATTTTATTGTCAGTTAAAATTTTTTTGACTCATTTATCTGTTTCTTTAAAAACAAAATGAGCTGGGTGTGGTGGTGCACATCTGTAATCCCAGCACTGAAGATGCCGAGGCAAGAGAATTTCAAGTTAGAAGTAAACATGGACTACATAGTGAGATCCTGTCTCAAAAAAAAGAAGTTAAGTAAATCATCTACATACTGATCATTCCTGTAGAGCTGTTCTTTTCTCTACCACAACAACTGTTTATAGTCTGTATCTTGATGTCCTAGGCCTTCTCTCTCTCCCTATGTTTCCTTACTCAGGTTTAAGGCCTTAAACCCTTCAGATGGATAATACTTGTGTCACTCTAACACCCATTCTCTGACCTCTAACTTTCCAGCTAGACACTTCAACTCTGCTTGAATGCCTACAAAAACTAAAACTAATCTCATCCCCACCAAAACATGCACAACCAGAACAAACCAAAACACAACTTTTTTGAATATTTCATGAAGGTTTATACTGGATCTTCAATCATAGGCCTGCCAAAGCCACAGCAATTGCTCCCCCAAGACAGCCCTGCAGAAAACAGCCACCCATCCAGTGGCCAAGAACTACTGAGGTGCCTGGCATGAAAAGAAGTGGTCAACTAACCAGTCTTTCTCATCCTGGAGCCTTGATGGAGAAATGGAGTTAACAGTGGGAGAAGCTGGAAAGATCTGGAAAAAAGAGCCTTGAGGTCTAGCAAGAGCACAGTAAGATTAGGAAATGCTGTGGAAGCCAACACTATAAGCAGATTTATAAAGTAGAGGAAAAGGTTAAACCTGGGAAATGGAAAAGGGCAGAGTCACAGAGGGAAAGACACAATGTGGAAGAGACTTTTTGTTCCAAAAAGTTGAAAGGTTGGATCCCTAAGGTATATTCATTAATATTCAAGACCCTTACGGAAATGTTCCCTTACTTTTGCAAAGCCATATTCTCAGTCCTGACCTATACAATACTTCTATCATCTCAAAGACATGACCTTTAAAGACAACATACAGTATTGCTAAGTAAACTCTTTTTCACTGTTAATTAAATCTTCAGAAAACATGAAATGAACAATGGAGAGAAGGACAAATTGAACATGATGTGGCTGTGAAATAAAAAGGAATACTTTCACTACATAGCTCTAAGATGGCATTAATTAGAAGGGAAATCCAGAGCAAACACACAGTCCTTTGTGCTTGTCAGAGAGGATCTCAAATATTACACACAGCTCCGGGAGTCACATTTTAAGACTTCCAGAACAGGAGAAGAAAAAGGCAACAAAGGAGGAATGGATAAGGTTCAAAATCAAGTAAATTCAATGATTTGCCCAAAGTCATCACACAAGTAATGTAGGAACCACAATTTCCATCCGGATTTTTAGACACCACTTCTCAATCATTATACACTCTTCCCTCTCCAAAACCTTTCTCTTAACTCCAGATCATCAGATATTTAAAGGAGTATCTGCATAGTAAATAAGTTTCCTACCCCTTAACACTTTTTCTGAGGTAGTTACTTCCCCTAATAAAAGTTGGAAAGAAGGCCAGGTACACACCTATAATCCCAGCTGCTAGGGAGGCCAAGGCAGGAAGATCTTGAGTGAGGCTAGCCTAGGGAAAGTTAATAAGACCCTATCTTAAAAATAAAATGAAACAATAAAATAAAATTTAAAAAAAGAAAACTTAAATAGCTATCTTAAAAAAACATACAAAAGAGCTGGAGGTATTGCTAAGTGGTAGTGACTAATTAGCACCAGGCCTTGTGTCGATCTCCAATACAGCCAAACAAAAACAGCAAAAGAAAACAAAGACTACTGTAAATCTTTCTGAACAATACACAATCCAGTGAATTCCCTGTTTTTGTTAATTAATGTGTGCTAACACACAGCAAACTGCAGCTACAATTCCTTAATTCAACACACACATATGCACATGGAATGCCCTTAAGAGTATAAGAGAGCACATTAAGAATTTCTGATATAAATTTTAAAATGGGTGAGAAAGTTACTAGCAGGCTAGAGTAATGGAGACTGCAGTACTTGGCATTAAGAACAGACATACAGACTAATGAAATAGAATTTAGAGTCCAGAAATCAACCCACATATCTATAATGAATTGGTTTGCAGAGTTCCTAGATAATTTAGAGGAGAAAGAACAGGTTTTTTTCAGACAAATGTGACTTGGACAACTGACTTCCATATGCAAAAGAATAAAGTTGGGCTCAAAACTAAGTCCGTGTACATAAATTAACTCAAAATGGATCAAAAATCTAAATTTATGTAACACTTAGAACAAAACACCAAGGCAAATCTTCATAACCTTGGATTTGGCAATGGGTTTTTAGATGTAACACATATAGTACAAGCAACCAAGAAAAATGATAAGACTGCATCAAAATTAAAAACAATTATTAAGGTACATTATCATGAAATTATAACAGAATGAGGAAAGTATCTTCAAATTACATATCTAACAAGGGTCTAGTATAGAGAATATATGAAGAAATTTAGGGCAAAGGAATCAGACCTTTATTACAAAAGGATACATAAATGACCATTAAGCAAATGAAAAGATGATTAACATTATTCACTATTATTCATTATGCAAATCAAAATTATCACTTCACACTCATTAGGATTGCAAAAGTCAAAAGGACAGGCATGAACCAGTGCTGGCAAGGCCATGGAGAAACCAGAATCCTCAGAAACTGCTGGTGGGAATATAAAATGATACAGTTTGGCTGAAAACAGTTTGACCACTCCTCAAATATTTACACACACAGCTACAATGTCTTGGCGATGCTACTGCTAGGAATTTCACTAAAAGAATTAAAAGCATATGTCTCCAGGCAAACATGTATACAAATGTTCATTATGGTATTGTTCCTATCAGCCCCAAAAGTGAAAACAACCTAAATGTCCATCAGTTGATGAATGGAAAAACAGAATGTGGCCATACAACAAAATATTACGCAGTAATACAAAGTGCTGACGTGGGTCACAACATGGATGAAGCTTGAACACTTAACATATTAACTCAAAGAAGAAATTACAAAAGACATCATATGATTCCATTTCTATGAAATACCCAGAACCGGCAAACCTAGAGACAAAGAAGATCAATGGCTGCTAGGAGAAAGGGAGGGAGGACTGGGAGTGGCTGCTAATGAAACAGGGTTTTCTGACGGATGATGGAAATGTTCTGGTGTTAAGTGGTGATGTTTGTACAACCTTGCAAATATAAACAAATCACTGACTTGTATACTTCAAAAGGGTGAATTTTAAAGAAAAATGGGTTTTTAAAAGCTTCCCATTCTACAACTATTTTAAGCAATTTCTTCCAAATTGAAATATATCATTTCTTTTGAATGAAAATCATTTTCATTATATCCAATTATTATTAGAACACAACTAGGAGGCTAGTAGTAATAGTTTTCTATCTTATCTCATAGAGTTTGGGGAAGATCTGGATACATGTCAGAGAAAGCATGAATATTATACAAATAAAAGAGTAAGTGCACAGACAGCAGAATTCACAAAGACCTGAATACAAAGACTCAGTGTTGCTATGAACTGTGTAACCTTGATTTCTGTTAATAGGGGTTAGGCAATGGCTTCTGCATATGATACCTTAAAGCACAAGAAACCACCAAAGTACATAAATATGACTTCATCAAAATAAAAAACTTCTGTGCTTCAAAGATCACAATCAAGAAAGTGGAAAGAGTTGTGGGTATAGCTCAGCGGTACAGTGCGTCCCTACACACATGGGGGCCTAGGTGCAGCCCCTAGAACAACAACAGACAAAAAAAGAGGGAAAAGAAAAACCCACGGAATGGGAGAAAATGTTTACAGATCACAGCATACTTGATAACTTCAGTTACTAAATAAAGTTACATAGTCTACTTGGAAATTGAGACCTACATGTACCTCAATCATGATACCAACACCTGCTTCATAAAATTAATGAAATAATACATGCAAAGAACTCAGCTGAGCACCTGCCATATAATGAATAGTCTGCAGATACTAGGTGCGAGTAATTATTTTTATTTTGATAATGGATTAATCCAGAGAGCTGGTCAGGGTCTGGAAACCTGCTCTTTCAATACCAGGAGAAACAGTCTCAAGAGCACCAAGTCCATGTTGGTACACTTGGGAATGCCTGTGTGACCTCAGCAGCCCTTAGCCCCACTAACAATTCCAACTCCAGGGCTTTAGCTTAATTAAAGAACATGCATAAAGGTTTCGTGAGTGTACTTTCAACTACTATTCCTAATTGAAAGAAAAAAACAATTAACTGTTTGTAAATGAATGTATGCCTAGCAACTAACAATAAGCTTGCAGAAATTAAAAATGGGCTGTGCGGTAATTAAAACTGATTTGGTAGACTATTTCTTGGCATAAAATGTTTTTGAAATTTCAAATAAGTAGGGAAAAGTTATAGATATGTATTCTAATGCGCTCTTCACATATAGAAACATATTACAACAATAAACACAAGGAAGAAAGCTGGAAACAGCTAAGTTTTTATACTGTTGTTGACTTTCGTTTCCATTTTTTATGTTTCTACAGTAAACATAGCTTGTGTGAAAACTGATTTTTTTTTCTTTTTAAAAATAGTATTGCTGGATACCAATGGCTCACACCTGTAAATCCTAGCTACCTGGGAGACAAAGATCAGGAGGATCACGGTTTGAGGCCAGTCCAGGCAAATAGTTCAAGATATTCAAGATAGTCCAAAATAACCAGAGCAAAACGGACTGAAGGTATGGCTCAGGCAATAGAGTATATGCCTTAGAAGCATGAACTTGTGAGCTGAGTTCAAACCACAGTCCTGCCAAAATAAATAAATACATACATACATACATATGTATAAATATAAAACATTAACAGATGGAAGCATGGCTCA